ATGGCCCCAGGAAAGACGTATCGATATAGATTCTGTAATGTAGGGATGAAAAACTCCATCAACGTTCGGATCCAGGGACACAGCATGAAGCTGGTCGAGATCGAGGGGTCGCACACGGTGCAGAATGTTTACGACTCGCTCGACGTGCATCTCGGGCAATGCTACTCCGCGCTCGTGACCGCGGACGAGGTACCTAAGGACTACTTCATGGTTGTCTCGACTCGATTTACAAAAACGGTACTCACGGCCACTGCGACCATCCGATATGCGGGAGGGAAGGGCGGGCCAGCGTCACCGGAGCTGCCTGCAGCTCCGGTGGGGTGGGCTTGGTCGCTCAACCAGTTTCGGTCTTTTCGGTGGAACCTTACAGCGAGTGCCGCCAGGCCCAATCCGCAAGGGTCGTATCACTATGGAAAGATCAATATTACACGTACGATCCGGCTCGTGAACTCTGCAGGGACGGGGCCCAATGGGAAGCTTAGGTATGGGGTGAACGGGGTCTCGCATGTCGACCCAGAGACGCCCCTCAAGCTGGCCGAGTTCTTTGGGGTGGCCGATAAGGTGTTTAAGTACGATACCATACAGGACGAGCCGGGCGCGAGCAGCAATGTCGGGGATAAGCTCACGCTTAGCCCTATCGTTATCAACGCGACTTTCCGAAACTTTGTCGAGATAATTTTCGAGAACCACGAGAAGAGCGTCCAGTCGTGGCACCTGTCTGGCTACTCTTTCTTCCCCGTCGCGTAAGTAGTTATCTAAATTACATTCTTTGTTTCGTTATTTGGAAAAATTGGAGATTCAGTCATATAGGACTAACTCATGCATAATTGAGAAATAATTCGGCGATGACGTTGACTTTACAAATCATCCTATAATTGCAAAAAGAAACCTGACTTTTGGTCCTTCCACCAGCAAAAAAAGTCGGTCCATGTGACCTGTTGCTGACGTGGATATTATTTTCCCTTTTTTTTTGTATGTGTCGCAGCCGACTAACATAATTTGACGGGCCTTTGCCGATGAAAGGACCGAAAAGCAGTTCTTTTTTACCGGATGTTTTGTACAATCAATACAATCATTAGACTATTGGGAATGACTACAGTTCATTTCGCCAGAGATTTTAACAGTTAGATACACATGTAAAATAAAAAATACACGTGCAAAATTGAATATACAGGATCGAGCCAGGAACGTGGAGCCCGGAGAAAAGGATCAACTACAACCTGATAGATGCAGTGAGCAGGCAGACGATCCAAGTGTACCCGAAATCGTGGGCTGCAGTAATGACAACCTTGGACAATGCGGGCATGTGGAACTTGAGGTCCCTTGTCTTGGAGAGGCAGTATTTAGGACAACAACTTTACATTAGTGTTCTGTCACCCGAGAGATCGCTTCGAGACGAATACAACATTCCCGATGGCCAGCCATTGTGTGGAATCGTAAAGAACATGCCACCACCCAAACCATACAGCATATGAGCTTTATATGCTAAAGTCTATCTAATTATTATGATATAAATGGCAAAGCTGATGAGATGGGATATATATATTAGTCTTGGAGGCTTTGTAAAAGATATATCTAAGTTATTTTGTAAAAGGTGGTGTTATTAGAAAAGAGAGCTACAAATGCGGGAAGATGACGTGCAATTGTTGTTTTGTAGAAACCAATGGAAGCAGAGAGAGGATATAGAGTTTTGAAAGAAAAATGTAGAAAAAAGAATGATTTGTTGTTTTTGTAGTTTGATTTAATTTCTATTTTGATGATGAATAAGGGAAAATTTGATGTCACTCCATAATTCACCACTTTTTTTTTTTTTTTTTTTTGAGTTAGTGATCTATCTTTAATTTTCATAAGAATCACTCACTCCCATAGTTCATTATCACTAGTCACTTTATATATGTGTGTGAGAGAGAGAGTTCTGGCGAGAATAGTCTTAGTGAGATAAATAAGAATATATCGCATTCAGTGTTTTCTGTTCGACCTGTAGCTCTGTTCGACCAACTGGTTCGCTCGCCCCAATCGATTGGTTTCTCGGGTCTACTCGACTCATGTACGGTATCCTATATCAAAGTATTAACTCCCACTCCATGAATTTGGTTCTAAACTCTTATAAGTCATTTATGAAATGGATTGTGACTTTGAAAAATTCTTCTTGAGTTGATTATTTTGTGCCAATTGTTTATATTTATATAGTTGTTGATATTCGAGTTGGAAAATAGGAAGAGCTCGGAGTTTAACAAAACTCGCAAAACTCGCACAGGAAGAAACCCTCGGGTTGGGTTCCCACCCAATGGCTAGGTGTCGGAACGTGTGACGAGGTCCCTACCTCGACATGTTAAAAGAGCCGGAGAGGGATCATTCTACAAATGACGGAAATCAAGGTCAGACCTCCCACTTGAAAAAGCCCCTGTCAGCCCCACAGAAGAAGAGGCCAACCTGGAGAAGTATATACAAGGTGTCATAGATTATCCAACCTCGATGTTCTACAGAAGTCGGAGTCCGCTGAACACCCAGAGGAAGATATATTAAAATGATCTAACTTACAACCAAATGATGACCGATGTGACGGGCACGTCATCGCTGTAGACCTACGATCCCTAGGCCTCTAGATTAGCACGTCCACATTAAATGTCTGACATCTAACATTAAAATGACGTGACCACGGTGAACAGTAATCCAACATTTCCTTATTATAAATAGTCCTAGGTTTTCATTAAAGAGGGAATGAAATTCGAGTCAGTTAAATACTCTTTAACAGACAAATATTCTCATATTTAATACAACATTCAAGATGGAGTTCGACCCCAACGGCCAGAAAGTCTGACCTCAGTAAATCCGTTTCTATACAAATTTTCCATTTAAATCTGATTTTTATTTCCTTAATCTCTAATAACCCACACCAAATTTCTTAATTTTGTTGATCAAAGTCGTTGATCTAACAATAGTCAATATGTAATATTGCGTAAAGACGAAGAACAAAAAATAATAGTAAAATTATTAAGAGTGATGAAAAACTGAAAGTGATTAAATAGAAATGAGATAAGGATATGGAATATAAAATAATTTAATAAATATATCGATTGATTGATAAGCCAAATATGTTAAAAATAATGAAAGGTTTGTATGATATGATGGAAAAAGAGAAAATTAGAGTAAATGAAAGTATTATTTATTTTGTTGGTTGATAATGGGATGGATAGTCTTTATTTCGTTGGTGCCTAGTGCACGGTTTGGCTTACCCGCTGGGAAGGGCCTTGTTAGTTGGTAGACTAGGTATGTTTGTCTTAGGTTGTTCTCTGTGTGCTTGTGCTAGTATTTTTTAGGTTCGTGTTTTGGTCTAGGTCATTTGGCCTCTGTGCACCTGAGTGTCAACTTATTATCGACATTTGAGCATTACCTTGTTGGGGTCTTTGTGTGTTGTTTTTTAGCTGTGTTTTTTTGTTTCTGAGTATTACCTTGTATTCAGCTGTTAGTTGTTTGTATTCAGCTGGTCACTATCCTTTTGCACATTTGTGCGCGTTATATAACCTAGTAGACAAATGATGTGACAACCGAGCCTGATATTTATCAACAATGGCATAGGTTTGTGACAAAAGGAAATAGACCCAGTTTAGAAAAATATTTACTCCAATGCAAATGCATTGGACTAGGTCCTGCTGATGTGACAGCAAAAAATGGGACCTGGTTTATCCTTGAGTCTATTTTATACCAAAGTAGATACCTAATCTCTTTACATTGGAGTTAATTTCATTAGTTTTCAATATTTTGTCCATGTCAACTAAGACATAAGTCTATTATTTACATGTCATGTAAATAAAACTACACCCAAAGTATTGCACATGCTCTACGGGATTGATTTTTTTTTTTTTTTTTTTTNNNNTTTTTCCCAACCATAGATGATATATAAGGGGATTTGAATGTCCCAAAACAAAAATACAAGAGGACTAAATATATTTTTTATTATTAGAAAAAAAAAAATGAAGGAAATGAAGAATAGACACACTATCCAACCTCAAGAATTATGTCCATTCAAATCTCCCTCTTTTTCTCTGGAAACAATTTCCTCTCAAAATACTTGTCCATATACAGCTTGCTTTAGCCTTTTTCTAGACTTATATTATTCTTCTCTTTATTTTGTACAAATCAAATGCTTTATGAACTCAAGTTTTCTAATAAAATCAACTTCATCAAAAAATAGAGATGAATCCAAACAATTATTATTATTATTATTATTCATTTCATTTGTGATATTGTTGTTGGGATTTGAATATTCACAAGAAGCATAACACCTCTTTTTTTTTTTTCTTCATTTTCTTGAGTTCCATGTTTGAGGTTTTATGGAAATTCTTGTTGAGCAGAGCAGAGTACTCCTGGGTTTTATGACAAAGACAGAAAAAAAAATGAGACCATTTGGGATGTAATTGGTTATCCTTGATTGCGGCTTATGTGTTTGATGTTTGTCCTAAGAGAACATTAAGGTTGTGTGCATTTTTCGATGAACCTGAAGCAAAAATATGAGTTGCTTCCCATGTTTTTCAAGCAAGAAAGCGAGCCCCAACAAAGATAATGTTCCAGTGGCTCAAGCCAGAGACATCAATCCATCAATTGCTCCTGGTATATGCATTCTTTTTGTTTATTTAGTGTCATTTGCAGAGAATGTTATATTGGTCCAGTTCATGCAAAGATTGATCAATGCGGTCATGGGTTCGACTAGAACTGCTCTAGAACTCTTCATATAACTCAGTATGGGATCAAAGATTGATGAATGCAGGCATACAAGAAGTTATATCGGAAAATTGTGAAATTCATTTCTAAAGGATTTTGCTACGACTTCCTAGCAAAACTTTTAGCATTTTAAAATCTTAGTATGATAGTACTTTCCTTACGGACAATGGAATAGTGGAAGGAAAAAAAAAATGAAAAAGGACATATTTTGGTTGGGGATAATAGCGATTGTGGAGCTAACGGGATAAACTGATATCGCCAAATAATTTTACAATTGTATTCCTTGCTTTCGAAACATTCAAATAAACCTCGATTACTTTTCGTTCCATATTTTACAGTTGCCTCCAAGACATTTTTGAATATTGTTACACATAGTTAAACGAAAAGCTGAGTTTGTCAGTGATGTTTAGATATATTATAAATTATGCCTAAGCACAGTTGGAGGCAAAAATGTAAGATGAAGTAAAAAACTCTCATTTAAATGATTATCCGCTTTTTTTGTCTTGTCTTAAATGTACAAATTAGCTTATAGTTGGCGTGTTTTTGGACTTCAGTGCATAATAATGGGATTACTCGAGAAGTGGCCGATTACACCAACAATAAAGCCAAACCATGCCCGGTAGAAGAAGGAAGCAATACGGCAAAGTCATTCACCTTCCGTGAACTTGCCACAGCTACTAAGAATTTTCGCCAAGAATGTTTATTGGGTGAAGGTGGGATAGGACGAGTATTCAAAGCAACACTTCCAGCATATGGCCAGGTATATGGACTACAATTTTTGTTTATTTATTTGATTTGAACTTTATATGTTGTCGTTCTAACTTTTTTATTTGTATATATGGGGCTAACAAAGATACTAATATATAATATCTGGTTTTTTTCTCTATTTTTTTTTTTTTAGGTTGTGGCTGTTAGGCAACTTGACAGAAGCAAAACACTAGGGAGCAGGGAGTTTCAGGTTGAAGTCCTAATGTTGAGCCTTCTTCGCCATCCGAATCTGGTGAATTTAATTGGATATTGTGCCGATGGTGATCAAAGGCTTCTTGTGTATGAGTACTTGCCCTTGGGGTCTTTGGAAAACCATCTCTTTGGTAATTATTTATATAACAGTTCTGGTATATGTTTATATTTTACGAAGTGCACGAACCTTTGCTAAGAGGGTGTTTCTATAATACCTTAATGAGGCATTTGAGTTCTTGTAAAAGTTGAAGCAAACTCGAAAAGAGTAGTTCAATAAGACAATAACAATCTCATTCAAAATGATTTTCTAGGTAGTACGTTTTTTTAAAAACAAAATTTGCTCCATTTACAAAATTTGGAATTGCTCACATACGAAATCGTGGGAACATTCAACCACGTGTCTAGATTTCGTGGAATTTTAATTATATACCTACAGCGTATAATATGTTAAATCTTGTACTACATCATTTGGTAGACATATTAAATCGTGCTTGGTACACGGTAGAGTCGGACTGTTAACAAAAGATATGCATAAAAATTGGGCTGAATTGCAAAATATAGTCCAGTATCTTGTACGAAGTTGCAATAATAGTCACAATCTTTACGAAATGGCAATAGTAGCCAACAACTTTTAAAATTTTGGGGTTATTACCCAAATCTGGCCAAATTCGATGGATGAACTGCGAAATATAGCCAATATTTTTTAACACGGTGGCAATAATAGACGCCGAATTTGGTCGGACTTGGGTAATAACCCCGAAATTTTAAAAGTTGGCTACTATTGCCGATTCGTAAAAATGGTGATTGCCGCCGCGTACAAGATACTGAATATATTACGTAATTAAACCCAAAAATTGTGACCTGATCCATCAAATTCAATCATCTTGGTCAACACATACAATTTTTATAGATTGTAGTACCAAAATTGAGAATTCCATCTAGTCAAAATATTATAATTTTGCATGTAGTGAATTCAAAATTATTAGAGTGAAGAGGTATATATCAGCGACATACAAGATTGTTCTTTAAATTGTGTGTCTTATAGGACCTTGCGATGCCTTAAAGATTGCAAATGTTTCCCAAATGTATCTCATCCTTTTTGTTATGTAATTAGAGGATATTTTTTTTAGGTGTTATTGATCTGATTTAAATGCATCTTGTATGTAGACATTTCAGGAGATAAACGAGCGCTAGATTGGTCAACAAGAATGGCCATAGCATGTGGTGTGGCTCAAGGTCTTGAGTACCTTCACGAGAAGGCCAATCCCCCCATCATCTACCGAGACCTAAAATCATCAAACGTTTTGTTGGACGAGAATAAAAACCCAAAACTCTCGGAATATGGGCTCGCAAAGCTTATGCAGAGCGGGAACAAAATGAATGTGACACCTAGGGTGATGTCAGCTTATGGGTATTGCGCACCGGAGTACGAGAGGCATGGAGAGCTCACCTCCAAATCGGACGTGTACAGCTTTGGCGTGGTTCTGTTGGAGCTTATCACGGGCCGCCGAGCCTACGACCCTGGCCAGCCTACAGACGAGCAAAGTTTGGTTAATTGGGTAAGTACATATGGGTTATGTTTGGTAAAACTAGCTGATAAGCTAGCTTATAGCTTATAAGTGATTTTCGAGCTTATAACTTATGACTTATAGTTAAACACCTAGCTTATATGATAAAAGTGTTTGGTAAAGTTAGCTGATAAGTTGGCTGAAATA